CCCCCCCCCATTTTAAATGACTTAATATTTCTGGATTAGGCAAAGCTATTGCCTGTACTCTTTTTCTTTTGGCGTATGTTCACAATGTGTAACAGCGTAGCAATTCATATCTAGCAGAATATCCTACTGATAACTTTTCTGAAGTTTGTATTGTTCTTGCTTCAAGAAAACAAAAAGTTGGGTATGGTTATGCAGAAAAGCTACAAGCTTTATATAATGCCTGGCGTGTCTTGCATGTTAAATTGCTGCACTAACAAAGTCCCGTTGACTGCCATGTATTTGTGTCTGTTCCTTAGTCTCAGACTGTCTGTATTAAGTTATGTTGCCAGCTGAAATGTATATAGCAAACTTTGTAGCCTTCAGGGAAATCGGAATGGCGATTGTATGTCAGATATTCAAAATTCTGTACAGTCATGTACAAATCCTACAAAAGTTGTGTTCATTCTTGCTGTCAAAAGTGTTCTTACCAGGTCTTCGTTTTAGCAGGATCCTTCAGAACAGCAATTGCAGATCACTGTAAATTCTATCCCTCTGGATTTAGGCGCACGGTTGTTAGGAACAAGTGCTTCAACACAATTCCTCCATCATGCCTCTTACGGAATACACTTAGTAAATTTGGCTGCAGAAGTTTGGGAGATCATACGTCTTTTTGAGATGGGGCGCCCACAGCACATGACCACCTTTCAGGCTCTCTGTCATGCTTCCTTTGGAGGCTTGGGACCTCTAGAAGAAGGTGCGAAGGAGACCAAAACTGGGGCAGCTGCCTTAGTCTCCTCACAAATGGTTGTGGAGGAATGCTCACCTCTGAAGAGGTGGAAGATTGAGCTTTGAGAGCAAAGTGTGGAGTCTCCAGCTGTGAGGCACCAGGGTGAACAGGAGACACCAGGCATTGTAGCATCTCTTCCTGTGAGCTAGGCCAGGAGCACTTCTGAACTCATGCAGTTTTTTCCTTCCAAATCCTAATTTGACAGGATCAAAAGGGGAAGGGTTTATTTTGAACTTAGTAACAGGGCATGTTGTCATTTTCCTGGTGCTGGATGCTCACCTTGAGTAAGTCAACATTACTGGAAAAAGAAGTCTGGTACTTTTTGCTTGGAGGTTCATCCAAATCATCACCTGTACTAGCTTGGTACAGCAAATGTAACTTGCCTATCAAGATCAAGCCTAAACTCCCTCCAAAACTGCTTCAGATTCTGTTTACTTTACAGAAAGCTAATTTGATGCTTAAAGGAAGGAGCTGGACTGAATTGGGAATTTAGAGCTGAAGAACTCGGCAGAGAGCTCAGACCTTCCTGACTGGGGGGCAGTCTGTTAATTCTTTCTCTCTCAAACCTACCCATCTGTATTTGGTGAACGTGCAACAAAAGTGTGACAGTTTCTAGTGTGCTGATCTGATCCGTGATGTTCTTCGTAGCAGCGAGGAGAGTAGGTCTCCTTGCAACAGGGGTTAGACAGAACTCAATCAGCTATGTGGTCTATCCTTTATAACAGCTCTCTTAGCAAGAAACTGCTGAAACCGGAGCAGATGTTCCCTCTAACAGGTTCTGATAGGAAAGACTCCTCTTCCCCCTACAAGGGGGTGAGAGAGCACTGACTCTTCTCCCTTCCTGCTTTGGCCAAAAAAATATCCTTTTTGGCACATCAGTGAGAGTCCTAGGAGTGTAGCCTTACTATGTTGGGCAACTAAAATAGTTTTATAAATTAACTTCAGCAAACTAGACCTATTCTGCCAGGAGTTATCAAAAGATACCTCATTCCAGAAATGGCATGACTGAATAGATGGAAAGTGAGAGAGGCAAAGATCAAAGCTGTGGTGACGATAAATGCTAGCAGCTGGCAAGAGTTCTCAAGGTCAGATATATTTGAGGCTATGTACGAGCTCCTCCAGACAAGGGTGAGCTGGTAAGACTTTTGGAGGAGCCTGCATATCAGCAATGTATCAGTCATCTAGGGAAATCCCTGGGCTTTGAGAAGGCAATTCCGAGACTTGCTGGAAAAGGCCTCTTTTAAATCACTGCTGGGCTATTATTGTCATATCTTCTCAAGCTGCTTAATTATTACCAGGTACATCGAAGTGCTTTGACTAACTTCAGGAACTTCAAGCCTTTCTTGTGGAATTCCCTACTTTGTTTCACCTAAGCCATATATAGTGCTTCATCTTAATCCCAGTACAACAAAGGGGTAACTGTTTGAAATACAACCAGAATCCAAATTGGTCTTAAACCCAGTTGAAGCTGGGAGCCAACTTTTACTGGAAGAATTGAGGGAGTAACCAGCAACCAAATTGCATTCATCAGATAAACTTGCTTTCGAAGGGGCAAGAAGTAGCAAAAAATCTGCTTCTCACTAAAACAGAGCTTCCTTAAAAAGCAATTGCTTGGGCATTGCTTCTTTTTCAAGAGTAACTTCATCTTCAAGCTCAGAAGATGCAGTGCTCAGTAAATGTTTCAGAGTGGTTTGGGATCTTACGCCCTTTCCAGGGGTCTGACGTGTTTGCTTGAGGAGAGTGTGTTTGGAGTGGCAACAGATGGAGGGAAAACCTCTCTTCCTTCACCTGACTATTGTTCAAGTTCCTCTGCCCGGTTCTGTGCCAAGATAAACCAGTAGCTTGAGCAGTTGAGAGTTTCTTCTGTGAAATAATAAACCAGTTGCATAGTTGGAAAATAGAGCATAGCAAAGGATGACTCCAGCTGCCGGCTGGATTTTGGGTGTTTGCACCTCCCGAGCTGTCTGTCCTGCTTACACCATTGCGACACATCTGCAGAAGCAGTTGAGCCTCTGGTGTCTCTTGCACGGTGCTAAGCATGTGTTGCCCAGGCTGACATCGATTTTGTTTCCTCAGGGGAGAAAGGTAGAAGAAAGCCAGATGGCTTTCTGTAGGCTAGGTGTGACCCACATTCTGTAATTGGACCATATGGAGACAGATGCATAGAAAGTCTGGCTGCGTTCTTTATTCCTTGTCACAAAACACAGCTTCCTACGTTGTTTAAAAGCTCATTCTAAAACACTTCAGTGTATTTGGGCTGAATAACAAATTCCTAAGGGTTAAGTGTAGGACAGTGATTTAAACCTTCTCAGTGAATACATATTTTCTGTGAAATGAATTAACAAACACTGTGAACTCCTACATCTCAGTGTTTGAAACAGCACGTCTTTAACAGAGAATGTACAGCTTCTTGCTTGACAGAATAAGTTGTGGAGGTTTTTTAATGGGTGCTTTGAAGCAGGGATATAAAGAACTTGTGCATTAAAATGAAACCATTGAAAATTTCAACTCTAAGGAAGCGTTGGTGCAGTATATTTGTAAGTCAATATATCACCAGGTTTGGATGAAGGGAAACTCTTCATTAGCGGCACCAGTTTGATAGCAACTGGAGCCCTGACCATGGTTCTCCTTGAGTCTGATTTGCCCAGGAAATGTGTTATGTCATTACTGGACTAATGAGCCACTTCTGTCAGAGGCAGTTGGGATTGCAGGGAAACTTCATTATATGGAGGAATAATCTATTTCCAGCTGATGAAGTATTTTAAATAGTTCCAGAGAGAGTACTGTGCACAAATGGTATAAATACGGGAAACTTTAAAATTCAGTCTTATCTCGTTAAGTTTGCTTTAAGATTGTTGTGGGGCTACTTCAGTCAATGGGATTAATTTGGAAGGGATCCAATTAAGAATTATACCTTGTGGAGGCAGAAAAACATCTGTCAGGTCAGAACACATAGTCATAAATCACAGGGTGCTCTTCAGCCTGCTGATTAAAAGCAACAAAAACCCCCTTTTTATTCTCTTTCATAACATGACTGCTTTTATATAATGAATATACTTTCCTTTTTAAGGAACATATGTATGCTTGGAATTCATGAAGCGGACGGCTAAAGGTTGGATAAACTTAAAATGGCATGTCTGAGATAATCAGGGGACCGTTTCCAAGTTGAAGATTCACATGCCGAAGTACTGATGATACGGTGAATCTTCAGCTTGAAAATCCTGTCGAGAAGAAAAGCACTTCAGAATTGTCCTTGCCTGTAGTATCGATTTATTCTTCCTAAATTACTTCTAGGCAATCTCAAATGCTGCATGTTGTAGTGTCTGCGTGTTCTGATGGAGGCTAGTGTGCAATTTTAAAACCCTTGACACTGAGTGAACCCTGAAAATACCAGATTAACAGTGTAAGGTATTTACTACAAGTAGCATTCATGATGTTGTCCCAGACACCTTACTCTCCCTGTCTTTCAGTATCCTTAAAAACAAGCGAACAAAACCCCACCAGAAACCTAACTACACCTAATCAAATCCTTCTGTAAAATCTCCTGAATCACTCAAGTGGTCAGACATCCTTTCTTAGTGTTTCTGTTTCAGTTAAGCTTACTTTCTTGGGAAATTGTCTTTCCAGCCCAAGATTTTTAACTTGTACTCACTAGCATGTGTGTGTCTGGGGCAATACCGCCCTTCTGAGCCCAGGCGTGCCGTTTCAGCGCCTGGAGCTTCGGTGGGGGAGAGCCTTTTTCACCAGACTGCTTTATGCTCAGCGTAGAGGGAGGAGAATCGGCGTAGACCAAGCGGAGTAGATAGCAGAACAAGCAGCTCCTACGCTGAGAGTACTTGCTGCCTTCCCACTGAAGGAGCGCAGGGATCCATAGCACCTATGTGGCTCGCAGTTCTGCAGAGGGACTCTCTAATCCTGTATGTTCCATACAGTAAGCTAGGATGTTTGTGTGAGCCTGACCACCATGTTAGCAATGGCTATCCCATGGTTCAGGCTGTTTAAAATGTAAACCCCCTTTCTCTCAGAAGGACTTTATCAAAGGATATTGCTTGATATTAGACAGTGGCTACTTTGGCTCGTGTTTTCCTCTCGTGTTCTTGCACCATGGCTAATACTGGTCTTACCTGTAAGATGAGAAAATCAAGAATATTAAAGTAACCCTCGTAGCGGGCTGTGCAAAGTCAGTGTTTAGAGCCGAAAAATCTGCTGCCTTCTGTAATTACTTGGAATCTGAGAGATTACTTAGAGGAAATGAATCGGTTTATTCTCTGGAGCAGCACAGCACCAAAATCTTCAATGCTGTCAGTCACTCAGTGCAAGCTTGCTATTTAAAATAAAGCCAAATTACAGTTATTAGCTCTGTTGTGACTATGGCTCAGGTTAAACTTGCCCTCCCTGCAGTGACAGAAAATACTTGAGGATTGCTGTGGAGTAGGGGTTGCACTTTTCTTCCAAAAGGTTGTGTTCAAAACTGAAATTACCATATTTTCCCTCTTCGATTTTGGCGTAAGTGTTGGATATGCATTTATCTGCTGGTGTAGCCAGTAAAACCGGTAACTTTTTCAATTGTGGGGTGGGTTTGTTGGTTTGTTTTTTCAGTAGGCTGGCAGTTTCTCCTTCCCTACTAATGTTGTACTCTCTCTTTGCAGACTGCCGTTGATGTTTTTAAGAGGATAATTTTGGAGGCAGAAAAAATCGATGGGGCAGCTTCACAAGGGAAGTCTTCGTGCTCAGTAATGTAATTCCACGGCAAAACCTGAAAACACTGGGAATACATTCTACCTGAAGAAGCAAAACTGCCCATTATCTTCAAGGATAAACTATGCTTCTTTTTTTATTATTTTTTTTTCTTCTGTTAACCTGAAAGATAAAGAGTTGGTTTGGAGCCTTTCCCTTCAGATTATGTTAAACTCTGACTCCTGTGCAAATGGCTTCACTTCCATTTTCAAATTTTAAGCAATCATATTTTCAATTTATATATTGTATTTCTTAATATTATGACCAAGAATTTTACTGGCATTAATTTTTCAGTGTAGTTTGTTGGTTAGAATAATCATCAAAATGAGGCATATTGTTACACTACTATTAACTAGGCTTGGATATCAGTGTTTCTTTGTGTTAAATGTATACTTGTAAATAAAATAGCTGCAAACCTTAAATGCTCTGTTTAAAATTTTTTGGTTGATTAATCCATATCACTTTTTTGTGAAGAATGTTCACCTGCTGACCTTAAGAGGAGGCATGAGACCCTTGGAGCCTGTGGATTGTTTGGCCCTTGCTTGGGAAACTGTTGGCGAGCGATCCCAAGTTTTTTTTTTTGTTTGGGGTTTGTTTTTTGTGTGTGGTTTTTTGTTTTGTTTTTTTTTGCCACTAGAACTCCAGGCTGGCCAAGCAGCTCGGCTGTGCTTTGTGCCCGTTCACGGGAAGGAGACACAAGTGGCACCTCTGATTTGGAAGGGAAATCTTGGGTTTTCAGTCAGACAACCTGTATTTTTCCTCCGTAACTGCTAAGATTCGTGGAATAAAGGGTGCGCAGATCTCTCCCAAGGAAGGGGCCAGCATACGCCTGCGCTACAGACTGTTCACGTGGACTTGTAACTAGGAACGCTGTCAGGATGGAGTGGATTTATCCAGGTCACAAGCATTGACTTGCTAAAAAAAAAAAAAAAAAGTCATGTAAAATAAATTACATGTCCTAGACAAATCGATATGGGTTGTTTATCCTGAATTTCTGTACTTTCGCATGTGAATAGCACTGGTAGAGGTGAGTTGTGTCCTGGCACCTGGCTGTTCACAGCGTCAGGGTCCCGGCGCAGCGCTGGGCAGCTTCCCCCAGCCAGTGGTAAGCTTGTGCGTGGCTTTTGGACTAGAGGCTTAACAAGTGTTAATCTCTTCAGTCTGGAAACAAATGACTTCAATTATATATATTTTAAAAAATGTGCAATCAACCTACTTTGTGTCTAAAAACAAACCCTAAAACCAAACGAGGCTGATTTGGGGAACAGTTAATGAAGTGTTTCTCATGCATTTTTGTGTTCATTTGAAAACTTAATTTCCAGCAGGAGTAAAATGGAAGGCAAACTTTCAATTTTGTTGCAACCAGAACTAGCGTTTGCATTTTGGTCAGTGCTAATAATACAAATTCAGCATGTCTCATCTCTTCATTTCTTGTGCAGTGGTTCCCTCGTGTAGAAAATGGTGTAAACCCCTGAATTAACAGTGTATGTGGAAAAACTTACTGTTTTCTTTGGTCACAGTGAGATTAACTGGCTTCCTGGCAAAAAAAAAAGTTGCCTTTTTTTCTTCCATTTAGGATATTTCCCAAAGTTTCTGAAAACTAATTTTTGTTACCTGAATTTTCATACCCTGTGTTGAATGCAGGTTCTGTAGCTGGACGATTGCTGTACGTGATAGATTGCTGAAGTTCAGCAGAGCCGGAGTGCTCCTTCAGGGAAACCGGTACGTGCTTTGATTTCAGAACCAGACTGACCTGGGGCCATGCAGCAGGTTTTCTTCACAAGAAACGGAACGAGGGTAGTTCGGCTGGTAATGAAGTTGCTGAGAATTTGGAAAATGATCTGTGGAACAGGGGAACAACACGCATCTGTGTGGTGGAAGCCTTCATTGCCTCATCATGAGGTGACAGGTGACTTGTTGCATGACCAGAGTCTGGCACTGCATCACAGACACAATGTCATGTGGTCTACATCATGTGGTAGAAGTTCTGGACTACCAGAAACCTCAATGACCACATTTTTTTTCCTTTTTTTTTTTTTTTTTTTTTGTAAAATAGTGACCACATGTGTACTGGTGATGATCTAAAGCCTGAAATAGCTGCTGTGTTGGAGCTTGAGGTGTGCCAGCTGCTAAGGCTCTAAAGGGGATGGATGAGGAAATGTGCGACTTGGTAGTCCTGGGATCCTCAAGGCCCTTCCTTCCTGGGGTGAGGCTTTTTGGGAGGACTTAAAGGCAAGGGCAGGTTCTCTGGATGATTTGCAATGGGAACTTCCAAGCTGTGATGTACCTAGCACTGTGGAGCATGTACTGCTCTGGCATTTTCTGTAATAGCTGAAGGATTGAGTTCATCAGTATCTGTTTCCTTTCTCCTGTTGTTGGCTCATCCATAAGAAATGCAAATTATTCCACTTGTCGGAGCCTTTCTCTGCTAATAAGATCTAAAGACCAGCCGTGTGCAATAACCTTGCGGTTCTAATGGAATGTGTAGTCAAGCGTGGTCAGTGAACTGCTTGTCCTTTGCTGTACGGAGATTTCGGGATGGCACCTTCCAGCACTTCGAGTCTAACAGTGGCTGGGGCAGCCTTGTGCTTCCTTGTATGGATGGGTTAGGTTCATCACCGAGAGCCCGGAAATGGGGTGGGGAGCAATCCTGGAATACCTTATGTATAGGAGCAAGAAATCAGTACCTAGGAAACTGCTGCTTGCCTGGAATTGATAAATTTGTATAGCCTTGTCTGGCAGCTGCCCTGATCCTTCGGAGGTTTCTGGAGGATTGTGATAAATGGTGCATGGATTAAAAGGTATGTCATGAAGGAAATAAGTCCTCTGGCCCAGGCTAGAAAAAATGTGATAGACACTTAATAGAGCCCAGCCTTAAGAGGTGATCATTGGCAAAGGTGAATGTGCAAAGATCCTTTTCCTGGTGAGGAAACGAGCAAAATTTAACAACCATGTTAAGTCATGTTAAATTCCCATTGACTTGGGTGGATTTAAAACGTGCTGTTCTGGAAATGACTTCTGGGCTGAAGTTGGGCTTTGCTGAGGAAGTTTGTGCAGCATAGAAGGCAATGGTGAAGTCTGCAGGCTTTCCATTTTCTGGTTTCTTTGAACAGAGAAGTTTCTATGCCCAAACTTGCACCCTGGAAGCGATCGAGGACAACTTTTGCAGTTACCCTTGTTTCTGGCACGGGTGAGTGTAAAACACCCAGCCGGGTCTATCCCAGCTTCCTTTGAAGTGCAAGAGGGGCGGCAGCCTGAAATGAGCCGGGTAGCCTACGTCATGGTGCCTATTTTGTTTTCACCTTGTCTAAAAGAAACATGCAATCTTACACTTTTATTGCTAAAGAATTTGTGCTGCTGCTCCGTGCAGGTGTCGCAGGCTGCTGTGCAGTGCCGTACAAGCGTCGTGCAGGCGGTGACGATGCTCCTGGGCTTGCTGGGCTTACCCTGCTCGTGAGCACTCCTGTGCTGTAGCCTTTCCTCTAGGTGGTGGGTCGATGGTTGGACTTGATGATCTTAGAGGTCTTTTCCAACCTTAAAGATTCTATGATTCTCTTAAGAAGGAGAAGTCAAAGGGTTCTAATTAGTCCTTATGTAATCAGCACTGCTTATCTTCAGAGCATTTAGCTAATACTGACTAATCTTCACAACCTCATCTAATAAGGTCAAAATTCCTCCCCTTTGACAGCTGGGGAGGGGGAGTGGGAACCTTTGCACAGATGCCTTCAACTCGTTACAGAAACATGGCTGAACTCGGTCTGGGTGATGGGTGTCCTCAGCATCCAGCTTTTTCTTAGGTGTCCTATTTTGCTACTGGAACCTTTCCTTTTTGAAATAAAACCTGAAAGGATTTCCCCAAAAACCCCAGGCTTTCTGATGTTTCCCAAAATGAAATGCAAGTCCCAACTCAGATGCGTACTGAGATGTGTAATGTGCTGCACTAATACTGATCCCTAGACAGAATATTACTGAAAACAAGCTTTTGCAGATTTTTTTTTTTAATATCTATCTCCATAATGCTGCTAATAAATATTTGGCTAAACCTGACCAGCATGTCCCAGCTCCAAAGTGAGGAGGTATTTTTCCTAGCAGGAACCTGGCCAGATCTGAACAATCATTCTGTGACAGGGCTTGCTCAGGCATGAGGAGCTTTTTTAGGGTCTGTACTCCACATGGGATGATGCGAGGTGTTGTGCGGACAGGATAGAGAGATTCTTCATGGAGATACTGCAGAGACTCTATGTCTTGGTGCATCCACGATGAAGACCATGTGTCGAACCCAAAACCATCGCCTGGCAGCTGATTCCCATTTCCAGGAACAGTTGACGTATTCTGCCGGTGAGAGCGTGGGTTGGAAGATCCTTTCTCTGCTTGAGTGGTTTGCAGAGATGCTCTGCAGTTAGTGTAACCAGCCTCCCCAGCAGCTCTGGGAGGCAGCATGTGGGAAGCTCCGGCACTGGGAACGCGTTCATCACCAGCGGAAATTAACGCTTTGGCAACTGGGGTGAGATGGGCTAGGTCCTAATCGAGCAACGTGGATTTAATATAGGAACTCTCCCTTGAGTCATAAAGATGGTTTCTCTGAGGTCTGTTGCTGCTCTGAAGTGGCCCACGAGATGTGCTCCTCCTTTCCAGCAGTGTGCCAAAAGAGTTTCCATGGGAAGGAGCTTAGACCCAAAAGTTATTCCACATCTAATGAGCTAGAATTATCTCGTACTAGGGTACATGAAGAAATCTGTGAGCTTTTTTAAAGCAAGATGGCCTTTTGAACGCCCTGAGATACAAGTATTTCCTGTGCCAGGTCTTAACACTGCTTTGCAAACTCTAAAAGCTCCTCCAGAAGCTGGAGCATGGCCATTTCAGAGGATGCAGTGCAACTTCTTGGCTGTTGCTCATGTAATTATTAGTTCCATGGGGTTGTACTGGCCGTAGTAGGTACCTCTGAGCAGAATCCAAATCCTGCTCAGCCTCTGCTAATAAATATTCTTGTTGGCATTAGCGAGGTCACTCCCAAAGGTTCACCTCCAGGAATCGCCCCCTGCTCTCTTGAAACCTCTGTGTCAGAGGAGGAGCAAGTTTGGTGTTTTCCTACCTTAACTAGGGTAGTTCAGCACCATCCTTCTGGCAGCACCACCTAACACAGCAGGTTATTGCGAGGCATAGTGCTGGGTTGGACGCGTGCCATGGCCAATGTCTGCTGAGCTGCACAGAAAAATCACCCTTGTAAATTCTCTGTAACACCCCATGGAAAGAGGTGGTGGCATCTCACAGCTACGTTTTGAAGACCACCCAGCCTGGGCTTATTTATGCCAACATAACCTTGCTCGTAACCCCTTGGAATGTAATGGAAATCACTTTGTAGGATGACAAGACCTGTGCCCGGATCCTGTGTGTAGGTGGGATATGGGGAGGAGAGCGGGGT